TTAAGGTCTCTCAAGGCATTGAAGGAACATTTGGTTTGATGCTTAGAACCCAGTTAATCCCAAATTATGCCTAAACCTGATCAGAATCCAGAATATCCACATTCTTCTCCTTCAGTCTTCCACTACCAGGCATTCCTGGGGAACACCTACCGAGTATCAACAGGATCTGTCATTTCAGGCGATGTACTGGCAACCACAACAATTTTAATAATTAAAGCTAATTGCATAACTTTCCTTTTTATTTTGTATCACAGTTGCTATAATGTTAAGGGCTGGCATTCTAGAGGGATATGCGAGGTTCCAATTCTTGTTTCCAATAGTTGTTTTTTTTTTTCAATCCACATGTAAATGATTGTAAAGTATTGGCTCTGTTCTTGGGACAACATCAGTAATCTTACTCTCTTCCTCTCAGGCAAGTAGCATAACTACTTGGTTCCAGAAACAAGTTTTTTTTATTCTCTCTGCACCAGAGAAACAGATTTTATCCTCATCAGTGGGACCCATTACAAAGTGAAGACAGTCCTGACCAAACCAAAAATCTAGTGGTTAAACCATTTCCCTGAAAGGTGGTAGCCACAACCCTGACCTTCACACGCACAAATAAAACTGAAACTGAACTGCTTACAAGAAAGTCCTTTAACCTAACTGAATATTGCATTAGAGAGAAAATGTCAAGAAAGATACAGGGAGATAGAGGAAGCAGGAGAGAGAGATTGCTTCTAGAAATATATTACCCTTATAGTTTAGTTTCTCTACCAATATTTTCTCAACCTGACAGGCTGAAATGTTGTGGAAACGGGCAATTTTTCAAGTATAAAGTTCAGAATTTTAGTGCAGACCCATGTCTTCTTTACAGCTTTGTTAGGCTTTAGAGATATATTTTTCTTTGTGAGAATCATAGAATGGTTTGGGTTGGAAGGGACTTTAAAGATCTTCTAGTTTCAAACCTCCTACCATGGGCAGGGACACCTTCCACTAGACCAGGTTGTTCGTTAGCAATACTTTAAGCAATGCATTTAATTTCATCACTGCAAACACCTGCATGCTGGGCAAACAGGAAAGTATTAATTAGGAGTTTACCTTTTATATAGTTTGCTGGGAATGTTCCTTACCCCTTTTTCTTGACTAATGGTTTGATGAATATAGCTGCTTTGAGTTAGAGGTACCACGTCCAAGTGTTGTGGTTTAACTCCATCAGGCCGCTAAGCACCACACAGCAAACCTCGTACACCAAGGTAGGTTGTAGTGTGTGAACATATGTATTTTATTTTATTTTTTAATATATCATTTTCCATAAACAAACACACAAGATTTTCTAGTCTTCAGATTGTAGATACAAATACTAGGAAGGTCTCAGTCCTACAGAGATTTGTAATAGCTTTTTTATTAATGAGGAATTGAGCTTATGAAAAAATAAAGTCTGTAAGCAAAACAATAATTAAACTTGAGTTTTATAACTACCTAAGACTACCTTATCAAATTCTTTTGCTTCTTCTTCATCCTCTCAGTTCTTGAAGTATAGATAACATATACAGAGAATGCTTGTAGAAAGAATCCTTAGAAAACAGAGGTACATGTCTTAACTGTAATTCCAGTGATAAAACTGAGCAATTAAATTATATGGGAATATTACCATTTGATTTTCAAAAAGAATTTCATATATTCAAGTTTGATCAGTTTTACACTGAGGTATTTTTGCATATATAATTATATATACATATATAATTAATTGTGGAATTAGTACCCTGCTGTGAGATTTCCAGTGTCACTTTGTTTTGACATTTGACCATTTTACTTAACATGTGAAAGCAATGGGTTCCTGTCTTCTACTAATGCTCCCAATGTTTATTCTTTCTGTAACTTTTACAAATGAGGATAGATAGTTGACTGGTCTGTTCAGGCATTCCTTCCAATAAAAATGAAAATCCAGAACAAGTCTTCCAATAAAGAAAGTCAATAGTGAAATTCGGTTTGGAGATGAAAAATTAAGAATTAGTAGTAGGTAAAGTCAAAGACTACTTAAAGAAAATTTCTTGACTGGTTTGCAATAGAAAGACTGCTTATGTTTCCTAACTCATTGCATTCTCTAGTAATAGGAACATAAAAATCTTGAGGAAATAACTGACATACACTGGGCCAATTAAACCTTATTGCAACTTAGTTTTGAGACTGTTAAGGAAGTGTTATTGTGTTTTGAATGAGATTTATTATTTTCCGTAAAAGCTGGCAGGTGGTTTCACAGATCTTCTAGTGGCAAAGCTAATTTAATAGCTCTCATGTGCCCAGGGGTTTTTGTTCCAGTGGGTGAAGAATGGCAGAAAATTACTGCCTCAGAAATTATGCCTGTTCACTGCTTGTGAGCTGTGCTGTAAACCCAGATTAATTCTCTAACCCTAAAAGAAAAAACAAGTACCATCTTTCTTTCTGAAGTCAGAGAGAGACTCTGAGATAAAGCCTACCTCTGGAAAGTTTGTTTCATGGAGGCAGATATGGTTCAGTAATCCTGCTGCATTTTGCCATTACCTATGAGTTGGAAACTGCGGTGATACATTTAATCCAAGAGAAAAGGAGGACTCTCTGTCTCCCTGAGTCTGTCTCCTTTGTGACACTGAGGGCAGTTGACACAGAACCACACCCTCAAAAAAAGCATAAATCAAAATTTAAGATACAGAGCAGAGGCAGCTCAGGTGAGTAGCAGCAGTACTTTCTGTAGAACACCCAAGAGGAAGCAAGAATTATTTTTATAAGCACGAAGAACCCTGTGTCCCGCTGCTTGACTTCCTCTTCTGTTGAAAAGGACAGTTCGGCTCATTCCTCATTAGTTTTGTTAATAAACAGGTAAGTCTCCCACCAAGTCTTCAAGTAAGAAGACATCTGAGATTATGTGTTCTTGGTTATCTACTTGACTGAGAAGAGGTATGTGCAATTATAAACATCATATTCATTAAATTCCTGAACTCCGTTAGGCTAAGAATTTGATTTGATACACAGGTTAAAATTGAAAAAAAAAAAAAAAAAAGAAAGTCAGCAATCCCTACTTGTTCTGCTTATGTACTCTACTCAGCAGCTTCAGGTTGTTTATTGTTGTGGGTTTTTTGTTATAGTTGTTGTTGTTGGTTTTGTTTTTAATTGGGCTTTAACGTTTCATTACCTATTCAAAACTGTTTCTAATGGCTTGCATAATCTATTCTCAGGATTGCTGTACTACCTTTTCTACTTGGACACTGCTGATTAGCCAAAAGCGCAGCTAAAGTGTTGCAGAATTTGCTCCCATCAGGACTCACCTTTGAATTGTGAAAACAACTGTAAAATCATAGTATTAATAGATCCTACAAATGGAAATGTGAACAAGTATCTAAACAATTAATAGTGCTCTGTCACTAGACTCAGAAAATGCTTATTCTCTGTAAAAGTCTTTTTCCCTTGTGCGCAAAACTATAAAAGACCAAATGCCCAAAAGCATTTTTACTTTTTGCTTGTCCACGTTTATCTCAGATACTGAATCATCATAATCTTTTAATATGTGTATGTCTGAAAAAATTATTGTATAATAGATAGTGGCTACAGTTTGTGCCATGAATAGAGCTGACAGTCAAGCACAGAGGAAAAGGTTATTTCCTGAGTGCTTTATCTTTGTCAAGTGCATAAATGCTACTGACATACTATTTTTGAGAACCTAATTTTCTGCATATTTTCTTTACTAGAAGACTGGGGGATAGGGGGGGATGAAATGTGAGATAGGGTGATTGTCCCAAACAAGAAATTGGCAGTCTGGTATCTACTTGTGGATAGGTGTAGTCAGGGGCCAGTAAGGGTATTTCTGCACACAACGTTGGTGCCATGTGAAAAAAACATTCAGTAACGTACCTGAATTTATAATCACTGCAATATTGTTTCTTAAATGCGTGGGGTTTTTTTCCTTGGGTATTTAACATGAGTAAAACTAACTAAATAAATTATTTAGATTAAAATAACTTATAGCATTTAAACTCTAAGCTATAATTGCCTGTGCCTTGATACAAGGATATGGCTTTTGTTTCCTGCTATGTCAGTAGAAAAGTCCAGCTGCAGTTGCTGAAATACAAAGTGGGCCAAGGTCTAAGCATGGGAGCCAGTTTACCAGACTATAGATCTAAATTGGAGTTCAGCTGTGAAGATGAGGTAAGCAGGAGCAACGTCCCTGTGCACTAAGGGACTGTGAATGCAGGGTCACATTTTGGGTCACCAGAATTGTTTCTGAACACTTGCGTGAATGCTGCCGCGGTGGCAACGACTTCCACAGGACCTGTGGCCCCTCAGGGCAGGTGCACTGCTCTGCCCTTACAGTAAGCAGCTCCAGTGCAGCTCTGATAACAAACCGGCCCCATGCGGGTGTCGGGGGGCTCCGGTGAAGAGCGATTGTCCTCAGCCGTATCTCCTCAGCCCTGAGCCCTGCTATGCCGTGGCAGCGAGGAAGGTCCCGCACGGTGAGCACAGCCACAGGGGGGCCAGTGACAGAGGAGCCTTGCCTGGCCACAGCTGAAACCCACTGTTGTCAAGGGAGACACCCCCAAACCTGCCTGGGTGAGAGGCTCCCCCACGGGCAGCCCCTGAGGGTGGCACTGCACCCCAGCTGCTTTGCAGCAAACGACAAACGCAAAGCAGGAGTGTCAAGGAGTCATCTCCTTTAGGACACGATGCTCCGCACCCATCTCGCCCCCTCGCTGCGCCCCAGCGTTGATACCGCAGGGTTGAGGGGCCGGGCTCAAGAAACCACGTCTGGGAGCTGCAATATTAAACTGCTCCTGAGGGCGGGGGGCGACCTCGGCGTAACCTCTGCTGCTGTGTGTAAGCACGGCTTGCCCCGTTCCCCAAGGCCGGGCCGGGCCGACCCGCCCGCACCAATCGCCCCCGAGCCCGCAGGGCGGGCGTTGCGGGGCAGCACCGCCCCGGACCGGGTCGGCGGCCCCGCGCAGGCGCAGTGCGGGCAGGGCGCGCCCGGCGGCGCTGGGCCGGGTTGGGCCGCGCCAGGCGGGGCGGCGGCAGCGACGCCGCTGCCAGCGCGGAGCAGCGCGGGCGAGGCGCCGGGAATGGCTCCGGCAGTGACCGGCGGGGTTCCGCCGACTGCGCCATCGTTGGGCTCCACGGCTGCCTGGCTGGGCGGCAGCTCCGCTCTCGGTGGGTCGCTGCGGCCTCGGTCCTTCTCCGCGGGGGCAAGCTTCAGCCCGGGACCCCCTCGCTCCCCGCCGGCAGCCCCTGAGCCTCTGCGAGGGCTGTGACCTCGCTGGGCAGCGGCAGCTCTGCTGCCGCTCGGGTGCCTCGGCTGACCCCGCTGCTTCTGCCGGGAGCCTCCCCGCTCTCACGGCCGGGGCCGGGGCGGGTTACGGGGGGATCCCCGGCATTCGGATCCTTCGCGGCTGAGCGGCACGGCCGGGTACGGTGCCCTCCGCCCTGGCCCTCGGCAGCCCGGGCAGGGAGGGGGCTGAGCCTCCGCGGTGACAGCGGCTGAGGTTTCTCCCGCTTGTCCGCGGGGCTCTCGGGGCGGGCGCTCCCGTGTCCCGCTCGGGCGGGCTGCGAGTGCCCTCCGCGATCACAGGACTCTTAGTGTCGCGACAGCCCCGGCCTGTGGATTGAGTAGTTGTGGCCACGAGTTGCGGGGTAAAATAGAAAGAAAAGACTGTAATAAACTGTACAAACTCGAGGCTGGCGACTCCTCCGAAGTTGATTTTTTTATTCCAGAATTGGATGTCTCTTAAGATAGAAGTGCATTAAAGAATTGTTTCTACTTCAGCCTCTCTCTTGAGTTTAAACTTGGCTTAGCGTTTGGGTTTTAGAAGTTAAGTTGACTGTCACCCTTGAGAACTCCAAAGAGCCCTTGCACACAGACGGTCAGCAGAAGTTAGCTCAAAATTACATTTTTTTTGTTTATGTCTAACCCCAACTGTTATGGTACTAATAATGTATAAGTGAAACTGAATTTGTTACCTGTGTAGTCTGAAGTGCTTTTTTGTGCATTGTCTGTGCTTCTCAAACACTTATGTTAAAAATTGATGGTCATTTTTATCTGGTGGGTAAGTGTACCAGCTTGTTTCAGAGTAAACTTTAAACTTAATAGAAAGAGTTAAGATGGCCATACCTACTAGCAAAAAATTAGATAATAACTGTTTCTAGTTTCTACTTTTTCTGTGCTTTTTGTACATCTATATATTTCTTGGTGCAGGCCAGGTTGGACAGAAAGGTTTGAGGTATCTACCACCTGCTGTTTGTTTTCTGAAAACAAGAGGAATGGAAGGCTTATCATCCAGTCCATCCTTCTCTTTGGGAGAGTGGAAAGAAATAAGTACCACTAGGCATCTTAAATTTCAGATGTGTTGACTGGTAGCTAGTGCTACCTGAGGCCCTAATTCTTTTTTGGTTTTTAGGTTTTGTGTGCAGAGGCAAGAGCAGGAGAGGAGTTGTGGATTTTTCTTCTCTTCTTGATCATTACTCTCTTTTTTTTTTTAACAGATAAAAAATTTGTCCTTTGGTGGTTGTTACTTCAGAATATTACTGCATGTTTCTACATGTTGGGATTATGCAGTTTGCCTACTACTGGCATTTTGAAGAGAGCGTTAACAGCTGTTTTAGTAAACCAAAGGTTGTGTATTCATAGGCTTATATTGACTTTCTACAAGTGTTTATACTCAGGATTGCTCTATTGAGCTTGAAGGCAGTTACGCTGGAGGACTGTTAGTATGCGATGTGCCTTCGTAGGATTTAATAATGATAGCAGCAATTTAGTCTGGTATATCTAGATGAATAGAATCAACTTCTGCAAGCTAAAAGTTGACAAGAATAGCAAGAAATGTGAAACGTGTGAAAGAATTTTGTTCTTCCTCTGAGTTTGACACGCGGCTTGCTGTCAATGTGTCTGCTGTATCACAAGATCACAGTATATCTCTTTACACAAGAGATATACTGTTTTTGGTTAAAATTGATTTTTGACTCCTATAAACTAGTGAGCGTTGTTAGCTTGTGTAAATGCATTGATATAATGTGCTTGGTAGCATTGATTTAATGCTGCTCACTAGATGCTGATTGCACTTGTAAATTTATCTGTGATATGCAATAGTTTTAAGTATCTGATGTGTCCAGGAAGGATTGTACTTATTTTTTTAACAGCCAAACTGGTGAAGTGTGCTTTATTAAATGCACATGGTGGCTGTTTGCAGTGTGTGTTTTATTTTAAAATTGAAATTTGAGGAAAAGTTTTCCAACAAGTGGAAATGCAAAGCATTTTTGCAGTAGGAGCTATGTGTTTTTGCAGTAGGAGCTATGTGCTGCTCAAGTTGTCATCGAAGCAATTACACCATATGCACTGCAATTTTAGCACTGGTAAATAGTGAACGTGAGCTTTTTGTTTCTGTATATGTTTGTGCAGCATTATCAACCACATATTGTGCCTCACAAAGAATGGACTGAATCTCTGTTACTTCCCTTAATATTTCAGTTTTTCCCTTTCTGAACAGGACAGAACTTCTCTAGTTATTCTTAATTTATTTTTTTTCTCATTGAATTCTGAATAGTATCAGATGCCTTCATGGTGTGACTGTTTGGACTGGCTGGATGACTGACAAGATGATTTATTAGGTTTGGTCTTCCCTTTTAGTTCCTAACAAGCTCTATGTGGCAGTGTAGAAATTGCAATGCTTTAAAATAGTTGAGAGTTATGTGAATTATACAGTAATGCTTTTAGCTGTAGTTTGTTTGCTGTGAAAAGGAGCTGTCCTTTCATAGCAGGTTTCTCCTCTCTGAACCCCCACCTCCAGGGTTTCAGAGAAGACTGCCTAAAACTTTTTGCAGACAATTCACTGGAAGTGTCTTGATAGGGTGTGTAATTCAGAAAAAATTGGGATTAGTAAAGAACTTGTCAGGGCAGAGACTTGCCTTTCAGAGTAGAACGCTCTCCTTCCAGACCCACTGCAAAATTTGCCCTCAGTCATAATTATTGTAATGACTTCAGTGAGCCAAAGACTGTCTCTAATGTAAGGACGTGTAGCAAGCCTGAGGTACTATGAAAAACTTGCTGGCTTGTGGTCATGAGCACAGTGTTGGGTAGCAAGGATGCTGCTGGTGGGTCCTCCCTGAGACTTGCTGTGTATGTCTTACTATCAGCATTCACAAAGTAGGTGCATTTGGAATGTGCTCTAAAGAAACATGGTTGATCCTTCTGCTCCTTTTCTTGAAATACTGCTTTTGACAAATCTAATGAAGGTTTTGAAGTCTGTTCTTAACAGCAATTCTTAATCAACCTTGCTTAACCCCTAAGGCAGTTGGCAGTGCTGTTATTAGTTGTCAGTATGTTCTTTCATCATGTGGCTTCCTTTTTGTCACCATGTTTCCTGCTTATTTCACTTATGGTTGTAGGTTCTGATTACTACAAGGAAGCTAGAAGTTGAGCGGAATTCACAAACTTGTTGAATGTTCTTCTTCGATGATAGGTGGTTTTCCTTTGTTACTGAGTTTATGCATATTCCCTGAAGTACAATTTCCTTGAACAATAGACAAAGCAAGTGGTAGGCAATAGGTTTTCTTCACTTAAGAGTTTTTTCTTCTAGAAAATAAGTATTTTTCAACCTGTTGTCTTTACTGACTTTTCTAGTTTGTCTGCTCTCTTCTGTAGCTACCGCCTTACTAATAAGGCAGAGAAGCCCAAATGTTTCCTGAATATTTTTGTATGTGTGTGTTTTGGGCAGTGGTATATTTTGACTTGTGATTGAAATTCCTTGTTATTTCATCTGCTTAGTTTTGCAAAAGCAATTTGACTGTAGTATTCACAACAGATAAATACTGTTTAAATCAGATAACTTGTAAAAAGTGTATTTAATTTGAAGTTGCATCAAACTGTTCTTATTCAGTTTATTATTGGTAAAATAACTAAAAACCTGTATTAAATAAGTACATGATTACCATCAGAGTAAATGAATTGCCTAGATGATTTCACTGCTAAGCACTTGAATTAAAAATCTAAAAAATTAAATTCAGCTTTGATAGTGGAAACCTCTTCTGCAGCTCTAGTTAGGGTGGTTTACTATATCTCTGAATAAGTTGAATGTACTGAATGAAAGTCTTTAGCTGATTTAGAACTTTCTTCTTTTAAGAAAATATCTACCATGCCTAAAATACCAAGAAATATAAGCTGGTATTTAATTAATTTCACTAAAACTCAAATTAAGTTTTTAGAAATAAAGTTAGTTCTCTTAAATTCCCGAGAGTGAGGTATTTAGTGTGTATTTAGGAAATTGAGCGAATAAACAGGGGGTTTTTATTTTTATGCCTGAACTTAAAGGTAATTTAAAATGAAAAAAAGTTTTATTTTAAATGATACTTAAAATGAATGCTATAAATCAAAGAACACATCCAGATTGAGCATCCTGATCTAGTGAAGGTGTCCCAGCTAATGGCAGGGGAGTTTGGACTACATAGTCTTTAAAGTCCTTTCCAATCCAAATCATTCCATGATCCATCTGCCTTAGATGTCTGGCCTGGAGGTAAGAAGTGTCTAGTACTAGAGTTTAATGGAGTTTAGAATATACTTCCTTTAGAGCCAGGAGAGGATGAAGCACTAAATATGATCATCAGATGCCTTTTCCTTGCAGGGGAGCTGGGCTTACAGGCTGCCTGACCATTCCTGCCTGTGGCATTGCCAGCTTCATCGGTGCTTTGGTGATGCCCTTCTAACAGTGTGTAGGTCTGCATGGTGAATTGAACTAGAGGTGATCCAGGTATGGAAGAAAGAAAAAGGAAAAAAAAATCGCCAGAAAACCCCAAAAAAAAAGAATCAAAACCCACCCATGGAAGCCATATCCTGTCTAATTATTTTGAACCTTAAGTGACTGCTCTTTTCCTGCAGATGTGAGGACTGGCATGTTAGTGGTGAGGAGGGAGAGAAACGCATAAACTGATGTTGCTACCGAGGCATGTTTTCCAGCTATGCTTAGCTGAGATGTTTGAGCAGATCATGTGCAATATCTGAATATTTCATTTGTCTTGTACTTAAATAGGTTATACATGATCATATTTAATTTCTTTAAATATTAATTAATGTTAAGACCAACAATAGTTTGTTTCTGTACACTGTGAGATTGATAGCTATGTTTCATTTTCATGCCTGAGAGCAGAGAATATGATCCTGTAACTCCTTGAACTTCATGGAGAAGAAAATAGCGAATATATATATGTACTTATTTTTAGCAGGTAGATTGCTAGAGAAATCAAATTCATAAAATGTAAACAAAGCTCTTTAAAAGGCATGCCATAAGATATAAAGGACATGGGCATAATGAGCAAAATCCAGAGTAACCGAATAGGATTCTTTATCAGTAGAGCAGAGAGAAGATTACATCATTGTTTATGGGCCACTTTCTGTAAATTAAACAATACAAAAACAAGTGGGATGTGCTTGAAGTAATCAGCTGGATGTAGATTATGCTTAGATTTAGTATAGAGCAGTTAGAAAAATACAGTGCATTATTTTAATGATTCGTTGTATGTTGCTTATATAAGATCTAAACAGTTTTGATCTTTGTTATTAAAAGGATTTATTTTTCAAGAATCTGAGTAGGTTTTCAAGCAAGATAAGATTAGCATTAAATATTTCTAGAAATTTCTCGTGTGCTTTTTGAAAAGTTCGAGAATTGTCCATATTAATAAAAATTTAAAGCTTCGAGATAACTGTGGCTCATATTGGAGAGGTCCAAGTGATTGTGCCAAGTATGAAGTCTTTTGAAGTACATGCAGTTAAAACCAAGGGAAGAATAATTCTGCACCTCAGTGCAAGCAGAGTCTGAGATTGTGGTAGTAGGTACTAAAGGATGAGTTGTTCTGACCCTCCATTTGCATTGAAAAAGACAATAGGTGTGGAGGGTGAGTTGTTACCTTTGCAGGATCTTTAGCCAGGCTTGGCAGGTAAATTGTCTAGGTTAATCCCACTTTTTGACAGCAGGATGAAGTAGAATGACCTCTCTAAGGTGCTCCCAGCTCTCTTTTCTGTGAGCTCATAAAACCTCGAGGGGGAAAGGTTTGTTACATAGTATTACCTTTGCTTATGGTCTGCTCTAGCTTCATTCTTCTCCCAGCCTTGAAGACATTGTAGTCTTGGCATATTTTTGGGGTCAGACGTTATTTTACTAATATGGAGGGAATATGGTATTTAACTAGGATGTTAGTAATATGCCTAGGCCATGTAAAAGTTACAATTTAATGAAGGATGAAATATCTTTTCATTAATGTGCTAACTTTTTCCTCCTAAGTTCTGTTTCCTAAAGGTGCTGTAAAATTTTCTTGAACAGTTGCTAAAATACTGTTCAAGAATACTTGCCTTTGTGTCAGAGTAACACTGATTAGAACCAGTTTAAAAGTCTTGTTTGAGGTTGACTGTCTTTATATTTTACTTCCTAGGTAAAGAATAAGTAAGGACAGGCAATATTCAACTTCAATACCTAGCATATATATTGCTCATTTAGATAGGCAAGGCTTGGCTTTGCATAATGTCTAAAGTTTTTTAGGGCAGGCTGTGTAGGGTATTTGATAATGAGAACTGAGCGCTTTGCTCTGCTTGTAAGCACCAAATATTTGGTGCACCAAATATTTGATTCAGCTGGTTAGTTTCTTCTAGGATATTTTGGTTTGCCTTTGGTGAATTTTTACATCTCTGAACAAAAAATGAATGGCATCAAACAGTTTATGGACTTTGTATAAATGATGTGGTTTTATAGAACTGCTATTGATTTAATGCTCTACTAGTAACAAGCAAAATGCCTTGCAAAGTTATTTGTTTCTTGTTGAATTTTACTGGGAGAGTTGGATTTTAAGGTATCTAAAGGCAACGAAAGAAAAGGCCTGTACGCTTATGTATATAAACCGGTATGGTGAAGTATCCATGTTAATTTAATGTGTTTTTAAATGAAAAAAAGGTTAGGTATGTTTTCCTGCCTAGTTCAAAAACTCTGTAAATCTTAACCCAGTTAGCTGACTAATCTGTGCTACAGAGTATTTGGTTGATAAATTATGAGGTTTTCAATATTATTCTGTCAGGAAAAAAAGTGCCAATATAGGCACAGTTCTCCTTTTAACTTGCATATATTGCATCTATTCCTTGAGGATTTATGTAGATTGTCATCACCTGTTGACTGCAGATGAGATTGTAGCTGATATGGTTTTTTTATTGGCGTTTTATGTGTCTACAAGCAGTTGTACTAAATCATAAAACAGATTATGTAGGAAGAAAAAGAAACAGAAAACAAAGAAACTCAAACCATGGTTATTAACATGCAAGCATTTACATGTGTTATATATTAGGTAGGCTGGGAATCTCAAACTGAGTGGTTTCTAATAGTTTGCTCTTTCAGAGGATGGCGATGGTGTATGTTTTCAGTGGCTGTGTCAAGCTGATGGGGTTTCAGGTTGATGATTTAAAAATAATTATGTAGAACTTTAGTATTTTTTTAATAGAATCATAGAATGCTAAGGGTTGGAAGGGACCTTAAAGATCATCTAGTCCCAACCCCTCCTGCCATGATTTTTTAAATTTATTTGTGTATAACGACCATAAAAGTGGGCAAATGCTGAAACATTTTGCCCAGAAATATGGAACATTCGTAATTCAGATGGAGCTTACCTGAGCAACCTGATCTAATCAGTGCTGCTTTTAGCAGCATTTGGACTGGTGCACTTCAGAGGTCCCTTCTACTGTAAATATTCTATACTTCTGGTAGTTAAAAAATCCCAGTTTATAATGTGGAATATACAACTGTGAAATTCAGAGCTTAATTGAAGCAAAAATGCTTAATTATGAATATACAGTTAGTGTGTGACTGTGCTGTAACTTAAATTCTTTGCACACAAAAATAATTCTCTTTCACATCCTGTTTCAATTTTAAATATAAAATGGTTTCCAAATCTCAGACAAGCAAAGAATGAGCTCACCTTATGCAGTTGAGGGTAAATGTTCTTTCTTTTGGGAAATCCCACTGTCAAGAAAAAAAATTAAGGTTGTATCTCTCACACCTGATACTTTTCCTTTGCAAGGGTCAATACTAGATCCTGTATTTACTCACATATTAGGGAAGGATCCACATTTTGTTGTCAATTTTTTATGAACTTAGGACTGGAGGAATGGTATGGCATTTTCCTTGCTGATGTGAATTAGGAACAATGGTAGTGTTATTCTTCTGTGAAATATGCAAGCCCTCTATTTGAGATTACAAGCCTCTCAGGCTAGAATAGTGTTGGTTCTTCACCGTTAGAGAAAACCCACGATATTTCTTTAATGTATGTTAGACATTTGCAATTGCTTGTTGAAGAGGGACTTTCTACTGCTACAGGTGTAAGTTCTCAGCCAGTAGAGTATGTGTTGTCCACGTCATCACAGAAGGTACATGGCATAGACACTGTGGGGATTTGGACGTGCTTGTAATTTGCTAAATGCTTTCAAGTGATTTACGGTCTATAGTGATAACTGTTTATTTGTTTACATAGATGGAGAGGCTCCCCAGGTTTTGCCAATCCATGATTTACAGACAACTACTTTGACAACTAAAACTGATGGCAATGATGGCAAGACTGAACACCTAGAGTATATTGCCTTTGCTTTGGTTCCTGTTTTCTTCATCATGGGTCTTTTGGGGATCCTTATCTGCCATGTCCTTAAGAAAAAAGGTTATCGTTGTACAACGGAGGCTGAAGAAGTAGAAGAAGAAAAACTTGATGAAAAAATAGGTAATCAAGTCTAATAAACAAGTTCCTATTTCTGTACATTGCTACTGCTATGAAATAATTTATTGTGAGATTTCTGTCATTTCACTGTCTATATTTGACATCAAAGCAATATTAAGAAAAATATCTTTATTACTGTATGCCAGTTGGGTTTTGATCTTTGCCAATCAAAACTAGCAGTGTTCCAATTTCCCATGCAAGTCCTTTAACATCAGTTAAGAGCTTACAGAGGGATCAAATTATCAGTATATTTGTTTGCAACTCCACAGTGCAGTTGGAGTCACCAGATAACATTTTGCATTCTACATGCTGTTTACAACAAAGTATTAGTTTACATAGTTCTATGTGAGGAGTAGCAAAAGGCTGCCATTTAAAGCCTAAAATCTTAGTTTTATGTTTAGCAATCTTAATTTGCACCTCTTGTGCTGTCATGGTCGTCTCCCCTTCTCTTTATAAAACCAAGCCTTTGGACTGAATGGCTGCATTCTGTTTTAATGGAATGTGCTTCTTGTAATTTTTTCTTAAAGATACCTTTATTTTTGTCCTAATGTTTGTTTGTACCCTCGTTTTTATGGTTCCTTGTTCTCATCTGTTCTTACTTGGGGAAAATAAAAGGGCATTATCACTTGGGAAGAGATATAGTAACCCAGTATAGCATTTGGCTAAGTAAAAACAAGAGCCAAGTCACTTGTAAATACTCTGGGCCTCTTCGTTTCTTTCAACTAATTTCTTTCAGTAGGTTCATAATGAATGTAAATTACAGTGGCTCTGTGGTGAGGGTAGAGCCATGTGGTGCAGTAATGATGTGTTGCTGTGTTCTTAAGCATTTACTGCCTGGGGCATGTGAGGAGTGAGTGGAACTGTCTGCTCTGTCAGTTCACCTGAGTGTTAACAGCAAGGGAAGGCATAGAGTAGTGAAAGGGGGACATCACCTACATCTCAGTTTTGGGAAGTAGCTGTTTCTAAGTTACATTGCGGAGTTGCAGGTGTTAAGATGAAGCATGGGTACAGAGATTTACTCATTTACTATGCAGTGAAAAATTTAGGGTCTTGCCTGTCAAACTTGCCTCAATCCTTTAATAAAGCTTTATAACAATTATTAGGGAAGGGCATAGTGTTGCCTCTTGGCTGTTCTAGTTGTCCCACTGATCTTTTTCAGCCTTTGGAAGTTACTCTGTGGAAGCTTTCAGTACTGTTAATGGGTGCTTTCTATTCCAAAAGTTTTCAGATTTTTTTTTCATTAAAGTAATCAGTTGTTATGTCCTTGCAGATGTGGTGAAAAACTTAAATTGAATTCTTGTCATATTAGAAGACAATAATACCTGTTTTAAAATAGTGACTTGAGACAGTTAAATGATCTGTTTTGTTTTGGTTTTTTCTCCCTAATATTAGGATTAGAAATACTGCTCTCTTTTTTGTCTCCTGCTTAGTAGCTACAGAAGGAGTTTAGGCATATGCTTGTGAAAATACTGCGTTTATTTAATTCTTAGCTGAATTTCTTAGAGCTGATGTATAGACCGTAAACTTGTGTTCATATTTTTTCCTGAATAAGGACTGAAAAGTCTTATTAAGCTTTTCCTCTATTGTGACAATAGATCTTGTCTTTTTGTTTTTTAATGTAGTTTCTTCTGGTGTGTTTGGTTTTGTTGTGGCTTTTTTAAAATTTTGTTTTAAAACAATTCAGTTCTTTATTCAGAAACCCAAGATACTGACAACATATTTATTTCTTTGCACAGAAATGAATGAAACTATACATGAAAATAGTGACACTGTGGGACAAATAGTTAACTACATCATGAAAAATGAAGGTATAGTATTGGGACATTGAAGTTATCAGCCTTTGTGATAGTATTCTGTAACAAATATGTTTTTTTCAGATAATCTGAAGTGTGTGTTTTCATTTAATAAGTGATTTGTTCATGCTTAGCTCTTCGAAATTGCCTTCACAAGGCAAAACTTCAATGGAAAGTTTTTCGCTTACCCCAGAATTATTTTGTATGGTAAGATAAGGTCATGCGTTCCCTCATACTTTAACTGTTTGGGTATTTGATTTTTTTTTTTTTCTTTGCTTCAACCTTTTGCTTTGTTTGTGAAGTAAAAGCTCAAAGTTGCTTTCTTAGTGTCAGTGTTTAAAGCCTGTGGGAACTTCTGTGTTTTGACTAGATTAAACTTTTTGTCTTGAAGTGATTTTTGCAGCTCTTGTCTGATGAAAGGTTTGTGCATAAGTGAGACAATAGCGTGTACTAACACTAATGGCGTCTTCATGCTCTGTGTGTGCAAAGTAAAGGATAAAGTTATGACTGAACAAATAAAATCATAGCTAAGCACCCCATGGAATACTTGGTTAGTTCAGAATGTATTTGTCCAATAGAAGTAACTTTTAGGAGACTGCATGTTTTTATAGTACAAGAAGCTTTAGCCTTTTAATTTTGTATAAATCAGAGTTCTAAGCATTGAACTGGCTTTGAGTTACTTCTGAATGAAGACTAGTCCTCTGGAAAAGTGGTATTTTTGGGTCTGTGTGTGGGGCTTTTGGGGTTTTGTTGTTTGTGGGTTTTTTTGTTTGTTTGTTTAATTTTTTAAATATTTTTTTTAACTGTTAGGGCTTTGAGCTTGTGTATTTTTCTTTGAGATTGGGATTAGGTAATTTGTGTGTGTTTGAGAATATGTGAGCAATTGATAGTGCTTGGATGATAATTAATTTGCATTTTGTAGGGCTCACTTAAACTGGTGTTCTTAATCTGAAGTTGCTTTAAACATGTGAGGTGATTCAGAGATCTTGTTTGAGAGTTCTGTGCAGACAGCTACGTTATATGGCTTGTATTGGGGTGGAGCTTTGAACTGTAATTTTAGTAGCTTATGTTAAGAAATTCTTGTAGCATTATATTAACATTTTTTTCCTGTAATTTTCTCTTATGCCTTTTTGGAGATGTACATAATGCAGTCATCTTTCTTTTAGATGAAATTTCTCTGAGGAACTTAAATTTTGCTTTTTCTTTTTTCTGAAGTTAGAGCCGTTCACTTTTGAAGAGTTCTGTTTATTCTCATTGCAGCAAATGCTGATGTGTTAAAGGCCATGGTAGCAGATAGCAGTGTCTTTGAACCTGAAAGGTAATTACTTGTCATTCTAATGCATGTTTCCTGAGGCAACTGAAAACATACCCTTTCAAAGGATTTTGTTTCACAAACACTTTTAAGACTACATTGCTTGCTTGAGCTACCAGCTAAGAGAATAGTACTTAGATTTTCTGTGGTGTCTGACTCCCTAAATTTTAGTATATGCCCTAGATTGGTGACTGGCACTTCTGGGTATGTGTTCGAGGTGTGCGATACGGTTTTACTTCTTGTTGAGCTAAAGATTACTGGTTTGCTTCAGACTGAAGTTACTTAGAAGGTGGCTTAGTCCAAAGCTACTCTGACTTGAAGAGGCAGCACTTATTTAGTTTGTGTGGATGTCAACTTAAAATAGACATCTCATTCTGTGTCTCCTGGTTTACTTTTTTCTTTGTAATTGTGGGAATATACATTGGCTGACCTATCTCTTACATTTTTTCACTGCACTCCTATTTAGATAATTATGTAGAGAAAGTAGTTCAGCCTTACAGATGCATCATATGTGTCAAAGTATTTGTAGATGCATCATATGTGTAAGAGTACTTGTATCTGTACATAAGTACCTTTAACTGCATCTACTACTACTTTAAATCCTCTTCATTTGTAACCCTGTGTTCATATTCAAGGCAGAGAAGATGGAAGTCCAAGTAGTATTGTGTCACCTATAAAAGAAGTGGGAGTATATAGTTTTAGCAAAACAAAGTTGAGTATGCAACCATTAATCACCTGTTCTAATGGTGAGAGTCTTGGTTATTGAAGAAAAAAAAATTGAACTTATAAAAGGATTTCTTCTCAAGTATAAGAATTATTTTTAAGCTTCTGTGGTGCAGTAGGAATATTTGTTTGAATATTTTGCTTTGGCATGTTTAATGTTATTTTGGGAGTTTTTGACTATAGTTTCAGTGGTGAATTAAAATACGAAAAGTAAGGGGGAGGGAAAAATTGTTTGCTCTTACAGAATTTGACAGATACTCCTAAAGCTTTTGTAATCAAGTGCAAATCCACAGTGTACCTAAGTTCAGTGCACTATAAAATAATTTCTAATTATAGAGTAATAATGGCTGAGTAAAATCTGCACTTCTGCCACTTGAAACCATTAGTTCCTGTCTTTGCTTCTGATACTGAACAGATTTTATTTTTCTTAATAGCATTTTCTTGTTTATTTGAAGACCATTAAATGTCTGCTGTCAATATTTTTATTTGGAAAATAGGCATCCAAGTAACTCCAGTCTTCTACAGCATGTTTTACTTCTTTAATTTGTTCTTTCTGTTCTCCTTTGGAGTCTCTTCAGTTTGTTAGTATTTTTCTTGAAATAACATTCCTAAACCTGCATAGTAGTATCAGCTGTGTCATGATTAATGCTGAGTAATGTAACTTTAGGTTCACAGGTTATACTCCTGTTATTTCCACTGTGAAGTTTGTCCTTAAGTAAGACCATGTTCATGATTCATGTTCAGCTCATGATTATCTTTTTCTGAAGTGATCATCTGCCCAGTTGCTTTTTCATCTGGGTTTGTGTAAAGGTTTTCTGCTAAAACACTGAAAATTGTGTTGTCCTTACTGCAACTCATCCAGTATTTTTAGTAAGATTTCTGAACATGTGAGTGTCTTTCACACTCTCCTCTGACCATCGTAATTTCTTATCTTGTCCTCTACAGTTACTGTGGGTGATCTGAAGTCTGTGGGTACTTTAGCTATTCTTCTATTCTATTACCCAGTGAACTATTTAAAACACTGAATATCATGAGGACCAGAATAACCACACTCTGTATGTCTTTCCAGTTTCATACTAACTATCGATACATAACTTTCTGTATGTCTTTTTAGTTTGTGTTTTTTTTTTTTACAAGGTGTGCTACCTTACTCTACAGTTACTTCACCTTTCGTGAGCTCTGGTTTGCTTTAGGAGAATGTGTTGCATGACAGTGTCAAAATGGATGCTGAAGTTCAAAAAAGTACATCTGGTTTCAATCTGTGCTGTTTTTCTGGTTTAGAATAAAATTATATTTATTTGATTAGATATTCTCAAATGCCTTTTGGTGGTTGTATTGCTTTTTCTTTCTTTCTAGGTACTCAAATTTTATTTTTTTCCCCTGAAACTAGATGATAAGTTCATTTCTTTTTGTCATAGACATTTTAGTTTTGCCTTTTTTCATTATGGGACTATGCTTTTCTTCTGGGAGTTCTTTGAGATACTGTAACAATTCTGAAATACTTTCCATATTTCTCCAAGTGTGAATGTAATCAGCTTATTGGATGTCTTCATCAGTATAAGTTCATGTAACTTGTTCTTTTCTATTTTAGGCTGATTTTTTTTTTCTCTTCATTTCCTTGCCTTTTGTGTTAGTTACTGTAATCACATGACTGCTGATGAATTAATTTCTGGAAGTGATTTTGACTGCAAAAATATGGTGTCAGAGGGAATCTTAAACCACACATTCTCACAAATAAATGATCCCTGAAAATCTAGCTATTCACTAAACCTAACTGAAGGTTATATCTTATCTTTTTTTTTCATTTTTAAGAAACTGGATTTTATAGTAAACATTAAATTTCCTTTATACATTTTCTTATAGCCCTTTATCTCCTACCTCTCCTGAGAGTCCAATGAGTCCAGGGACTCCTTTGTCACCCGGTGCTGTTCCGTTCAAGCACAACTGCAAAGCCCATCACTTCCATACTGTTGGAGGAGTGGTAGAAAAGGATGTTTGTACTCGTTGTAGTCACAAACGATGGCACCTTATAAAGCCAGCTCACAAATCTAAAGAGAACAGAAGAAGTCGTATTGGAGAAGTTACAGTCCTTTCTGTGGGAAGGTAAGCCTTAGATCATTTTGCTGTATACTTTTCTTAGGAATGCTACAGTGACCAGTGTTGGATCAGATATCCATTGATTCAACTCTGTTTATAGCATCAGTGATTTTTTTTTTCATACTCCTGTTAACATTAGACTGAAATTATTTCTGGAAGAAATAAATGTGATTTTTTAAGAACTAGGTAAAAAGATGGAGATTTACTGTGGGTATAAATCCAGTGCTATTGCTCAGTTGGTACAGGCTAAAAAGAAACAAGGATTGCACGCATAATAAATTCCTCTGTTTCTGAAATTGATATTTCTCAAGTAAGTGTGAGCTATAGAAGCCACTTCATTCTCCTTGTTATTTTTAATTTCTAACTTCTGTTGTAGTTCTCTTTGAAAATTACTGTTCTAAGAAGTAGGATGCAATCTGTGGATTCTGCTTTAAAACAAAATTTCCTGAGAAAGTGTGATTCAGCAGTAGTGAGTATTAGAAAGACATGTAGGTAATAATAGGAAGGAAGATTGCTCTGAAGTGAAGCAGGGTCTGTGTGGGTGTCTGCTCTGATGTCTAGTTCTTGAGACCTGGAAATTTGTTCCTTCTCATACAACCGGTTCTGAGAATGACCTAACTAATCTCTGGGGAAATAAAACTCAATCTTTCTTTTGTTTCCTTAAGATTTCGAGTCACAAAAGTGGAGCACAAATCAAATTCCAAAGAACGGAAGAGCTTGATGTCTGTTACTGGCGTGGAGAGTGTCAATGGTGATATGCCTGCCACGCCTGCGAAACAAGAAGTGAGCGAAGCACCTGCCACGCCAGTGAAACAGGAAATGCAGGAGAGGAGAAACTCAGAGAGGAGAAGCTCAGAGTAAACTGCAGGTATCAAATATTTGGAACTCGTATCGAAAGCATTATGTTGTGAAATACGTGAAGTAATCAGTAAAGTTGAAAATGTATCAGTTCCGTTTGAAAACTCATCTTTCAATGACAAAACTCTCTACACAAGCCTGCAAAATTTATATTTGATCGCTCAGTTAATGATAACTTGGTAAAAGCTTATTTACCCACCAAGTTCTTACCTAATTGTTTTTTTCAGACCTTTTAATTAGAGTAGATGTTGAAAGAAAAACTTCTTTGTGGAGGCGACATCACTAGTGCACAAAATAAAACATTTGCATATTAATTTTTGGCAATAAACAATGGCTCAGATTTAGTATCAATGTGCTTATTACCCAAACAAGTGCTACCGACAGTTGTATCACTCAAATAACTACGGTGCTTCTTCCCTGTGCTTGCTGCTTTGTACTGTGTGATTATTTGAGATGGTTGCTTACTGGATACTTCTCTGATAGATCAATGGAGCTTTGACTAATAACAATGGAGACATGAAACTGCCTGTATCGCAGGGATCTAACTGAGCCAGGTGGTTGGGGTTTTCTTGTGAGTCATTAAATTTCAGTGAATTGCTCGAGGTACCCTATTAAGCATGTCAAAAACATGTCTGGCATGGTTTTGGAATGCAACCCTGACTATGTTAGTTTTTTTAACTGTTCAGAACGTTGGGGGAAAAAAACCCTGTAAGTGAATATGGTTTGCTTCTAATTGATGACTCACTGATAATATGAAGGGGAAAAGTGATTTTATACCACTGTGATTCAAATTCAGACTTGACCCTTAAGGAAGAAAGGTTCTGGGGTGGCATAATAAAGGTATTGGACTTGAAGATAGTGAACAGAGTGCACAGTGTTCTGTATGCTGAGAGAAAGGAATAAAATTATGTTGTGTCAGCTCTGTCCAGTTTCAAACTCTTGGTAACTAACTTCAAATAGGAGAGGGAAATGCACAAGAGGAAATTGGGCCTGTTTACATATGTAACAAGACTCAACCCCCCCCGAGTATCTTGAGATTAAAGTAGAGAGCTGGTATGCAATGGGGTTACTTCTTCCAACATTTGCTGGCAGCACAAGTTTGACTGTTAGACTAATCAGAGTGTATTTGCCTGCCTGCTGTGTCACATCGTTTTTTTGAACCATTGCGATAGAGGAAGAAAGACTTGGAGTTGTGGTATGCTTCCAAATATTTAAAAGTTGTGGAGGGTAATGAAATAAATTGTTTTATTTGCTCAGTGGCTAAGAAGATAATAGGCTAAATTGCAAGGAGGTGGAGTTCAGGTTTCAAAACTTAAAAAGTTGGAATAAGCTATTGCATCTTTATTGCTGGACATTTGTAAGACCAGACTGGACAAATGCTTTTCAATACCAGTGTTTTGATTTTTGTTCTGTAACAAATTTTTGCAAGTCATAGCTGCCTAGTGGCTGCTGTTTCATTGTTTCTGTGTAATCTGTGAAGAATCTACAGATATCAGTGAAAGGCAAACTTTACTCTTAGTTTCTCATTCAGAATTACGTCCTTGTGCTCAGGTTTTTTTTTAATGTTGGTGTGGTTTCTTTTTTATTTCTTCCCTTTTTAAAAATCAGTATTAGCTAAATGCAGTAGAAGATAACCTCTTCCTTCACTGGCTGCATTGGCATTTCTGTGCCCAGCTAATTGTTTTATTGCTCCTATGACTATTGTTATTTCTTTTCTAGATGTCTCATGGTAACATCATCAGATTGTTTATAATACGATGTTTTTAATTGAAGGCAGGCTAGTTATCTTCTCTTTAAACATAAGAAATAGAAAGGAAGGGGCATATATGAAAAATTTCAGTGCATTTTGATTGAAAAAAAATGTTTTGAAATCACTCTAAAAATTTTTTGCAGTCCAGTTTTCTTTCTAATTTGTTCTTTCCTCTCCTAAATAAGAAAGCTTTTTCTTGTAATTACCTAAAAGTTCTACCATTACTATTTTAATCTAAAAATAAGTTGTTCTCTAGAGAGATACGATAGTAAAGCTATAAAAAAATTGTCCATCTATGGCAACTTTTTACTGTAGAACCTCCCTTAGGATTAAAGTTTTGCCCCTTCTGAAAACAAATGTTCTAATAGCAGAGAAATGGCTCCGCAGAATCTTTTAATGGTCTCTCCAGTCCAATAGAGCTATTTTGTAAATCAGCTGGGAAATTAGCCAGGCCTTTTTGATGTGTACTAAAAAAATAAACATCTTGCTTGAAAGGCTTTGATACTGTTTACTAGCACGGTTCTAGATCAGTTTTTGTCCACTGTCATGAAAATCTGTACACATGTAAACAGGTACTAGTTAGACCTTTACTTAAACTACTTATTTCAGACTTCCAATAAATTATTGTAGCTTAATTTATTGAAACTGAACAGATAAGCAGCATTTAAGACTTTTGTGCCTCCAGTCAATAAATGTCTGATTAAAAGCTTATAGTTCTGGGAAATTTGGCTCAAATCTTCAGATGCAGAGGAAGAAGGCAAACAGAGATGTGTATTTAACTGCTGCCAGAAAAGGTTTATTCTGTCATTCGGAGGCAGTAGATTTGTGCTTTGTGGCTGATTTTAACCACTATTACTGAGAGTTCCTGCATGAGATGGAATTCCTGAGTTGGGCAGTCCCTCAGTGATGTAGTATTGCTGGTTGCTTATGTTCACTGTTCTCAAGTTCAGGGCTTTTTTCCCCTAAACTGACATGTTCTGAAGTGACCTTTGTAGTGTTTCAGCTTATCCTGTGCATTGCTGGCTGCATCATTTGAAGTTGTAGCATGTCTTCTCCATGTCTCCAAGGTCCATGTTCTCAGCAGGCTCCATTTCTTCAGTAAAGTTTATTTAAAATATACGTAGTGGCACATAAAAGAAGTAGTAGATACAGAGCTGATAGCTAAAGTCAAAACTTTTGAGTTGACCTCTTGCACATCCATTTTAAGTACTGGGTAAACGAGCACTGGTACGCTGAAGCTGGGTAACATTTTCCATTCCTAGTGCTTTGCACTGTGGTGTGATTTGTCAGTTTGTCCATGTGTTTGTCTGTTCTTTTCAAGAAAACCAGCTGAATTTTTAGTTTGTCTTTAGGATTTCACATGCTAAATGTGGAATGCACCGCAACCACTTCATGCGATTGTGGCTTTTTTTTTTTTCCACTTCAGAGCATCTGCTAGGTTTTTAATTGATGTGTTCATCCTAAAACTAATTTTGCTATTTAGGTTTATTTTTAGAATTGTTTTCTTCTCTTACAGGTGGAACTTTTAGAAGAAGCTTGTCTGTGAGCACTTTGGAGAAAACTGAAAACTCCCAGGAGGCGCATACTATTTAAGGAAATGTATTTATGGCACTGCAGCATTTTACAGGTTCTGTGATGGCATTCATGCAAGGTTGAACACTTAATGGGTTTTGACCAGTAAAATCAGTCAGATTTAGACACTTGAATACTGTTGAGCTGTGTGGACATCATACCAAGTGCCTTTGTCTTGGAAAGAAAGCATACATACCGGTTTTTGGACAGGAAAGGTAAAAGCCTTATGAAGTCTTTAATTTTTTTTGTACTTAGACAAACATTTCTAGTGAGCTCAATATTAAGAGGAATACAATGACCCCGTGGATAAACTGTGTTCACCCCAGTGTTCCCTCTGGATTTTTCTTCTTCTGTTCTACCCACTCCAGAATTGACAAGTGTTTGCTGAGGATAAAAGCCAGGCTTTGAAGGATGAAAATATTCTTTTAATCTAACTGCTAGGAGCCAAGTAAAACATACAAGGAAATAATTATGTCAGCCAAATCTGCATCTGTGCCTTTAGTACATAAGCCCTCAAGCTCTGCGAAGGGTATTTCACAGCAGAGTGGTTCAGCTATATGCAGATGTTAAATTAAATTGTTGTTTTCCCCCACCCCTTACCTTCCCCTTACTACTTAATATAGGCCGAAGAGCATATTTTCCTGTGCAGTTAGATGAGCTCTTGGGAAGATTACTTTCTTCAAGGCCTTTTGTTCTCCCATTTTCTTGTAACTACTCACTTGTATTTGAAGAATACCTAATAGTTTTGCTTTTTTTTGGTTGTTGTTTTTACCCACAGGTTCCTTATTAAGCTAAGGCAGCATATTTCAACCCTTAGATAAGGATATGGAATATTTGGCATTAAAAATTTATGGCGTATATACTAAATTGCTTCAGAGTGACTTTATTGGGCTGAGGGTAGCTGTTTTCATTGGCACCAAAATCTTAAGCCAGTGTCACTCCCTTCATATTTTAAGTGTGACTTGCTACTAAAAATACCATGGTATTTTGATGTTAATTCTTTGTATCTACTTATGATCTCTGCTTTGTCCTATTACTTGTTTTGGGGAGAGAAATCTCTATAATACTTAGCAAACTTTTCTATGTAATAGAAACTGAAAAATAACATTTGTTCTGAGTGCCTAAGAATGTAAGCTCTAATGTAATGCATTTTAGTAGAGATTGCACTATATTCTGAGAACTGTAACTTAATCTGCTTTATGAACTCAATGAAAATCAGCGAATGTTTTTGAAATTGATTTATTTTAAATTAATACCTTCAATCTTTTTAATCCAAGTGCTCTACACTGTTTCTCCTTCATATCTGAGAATTGTGTTCTTCATCAATTCATACAGTGTTAACAGTCAGTGTGTACAAAATTAATCTTGCTTGTGTATTAGATACTCTTGTGTCCTGTCAGGAAACATTAAGTTTTTCACTCTTGGTGAAAGCATGTGCTGCTGATGGTCTTCCTTTTACTTGTATCCCCAAGATATTGATCGGGCCTATTCAGTGATGTTATATTTGCCAAAAAACCACACCACTGCCCACCAAAACTTTGAAAATAATGTGTGTTTGTGTGTTTTGTTTTTGTTTTTTAAATTGATGTTTTTAGAGATAATCGTCTGTCCTTGAGAACCCAAAATAATCGTTTGGCTAGGACCGGAACCTGAGTGTTCAGTATCCCTGCTCCCCTTAATTTAAACTTGGCTTATGAAATCTCTTCAGTATTTAAGTACAACATAAACACCAAGCTCACCTTATAGGCATACGTTAAGCTTCACTTGATTATTAGTGTGAAGAACTAATATTTCTAGAAGATGTAATTAGTATTGATTATAGTAGTTAGCTTTCAGTTTCCAAGAGATTGATAGCTATGAGTATAAAATGTTGCTGGGAAAAGGGAATATTGGGCAAAACCAAGCAGTTTCAAATAATTTTCAGAAAGGAATTACACAATTACAGACTGTTCCAAAAACTTTTTTTAAAAAAAGGGTGATTTATTTTGATACTATATTTTGATACATGATGGGTTAGTACTGCAAATAAATTTGTCAAAAGGATGGAACAAAGTTTAAGTAGAAATATGTATTTTTTTACTTATTATAAAATAGTTTCTATTTTGATTCCATTGAAAATATGTAGAATAAAGGGAATGGAAAGATGTTGGATATGTAAAATGTTTACCTGTATAAAATGGTTAACTAAGGTATTATCAGGTCTGATATGTTCAAGAATTGAATTTATGCATTGCTTCTTGAGTAAGAGAGGATTTAGAAACTGTGCCTGTTTCACTGCCTTTAACACTACACTGCTATTTTATAGGGGTATGGATATTGCTATATTAGTTTGCCTTTCTTAAATTTGCATATCAAATGTATTTTAACAAAATAGTTTATATACAACTTTTATACTACCAAGCAGTAAATAAAAAAATATTGATTCTTAAGCTTGCTCGTGACTTCCTTAAGCCTGCATCCATTGCGTGGAATTTAACACAATCTTAATGTACAATGCAATCTCTTTGCATCTTAAGTTTTTGTTTATGGAGGTAGTAAGGTTAGGTGATTGTGTGATGTACTTCAGAGCAGTTTTATTTTCTTCAGAAAGGACAAATATTACTTTAGTTCCATTTTTTATATGGAAAAGAAGGAAATCTATGCTTTAATCCAAGCTGGTATCTAATCAGATTAAAAGTATCAAGACTTTTAACTTTTTATTATATTTAAGATTAAGTTTTTAAAAAATATGCAACATTATTCTCAATTCTTTTTGTAAGGTAGGGAATGAAAATTCACAAATGACAGCAAGTGCTTGCAGTTGTTTCCTCTCAGCCTGTGTCTTTCTGTGCTTAATTTGTTACATTATGTTCTCACAGATGACTGATCTGTAAATGGCATTAAAAATGGGTTTTGCTGTATGAATAGTGAAGGAGACTTGAAGCAAGTTGTTATGGCTATCTGAGATGTAATTATCAGTGTACCATCCTGTTTGCAGGTTTGAGTTTTCTTAATTTTTTTTCATTGTTCCTACCTGTATCACATAGGGTCTGTTTTCAGCTCTGGAAATTCAACACATTTTGATTCTCATTTTCAGGGATTTTTTTTTTACTGTTCCTTTTTTTCCTACATAAGAATTCTGTATAGTACACAATTTTTATTAGATATGTACATATACTGAAATACAAAAGGATTGCTGTTATTAAAGTTTGAGAAATTCTCTTATAACTGGACTGAAACAGAGAAGTCGTCAAAAGAAACACGAAGAATTTTTTTCCAGATGGATTTTGGGTTTTTTACATGGATAATACTTCTGTTACTTTTCCCCCAGTAGAGACACTTTATATTTTTAGTAAAACTATTCCAAAATTCAGGATTCTCCCTCATGCTGCTGTAGGAAAAGAGTCCAGGGAGCTACTTCTATGTTTAATAAAATCTGATTTTACTGGTGAGGAACACAGAGCCCATGTGCAATGCGTTTTTGAAACATGGTAAGGATTAAAGCATTTCTCTTGCTTCTGAATCTCTTTGTAGAACAACCTCATTGGACAAGCATAGTGTACCTGGTTTCTCCTTGCCATTTTATTTCTGAACTGTTTCCCAGTTTGTTTTTTTTTTTGACAAAATCAGTACCATATATGGTCCCTGTACTCACAAGTGTGTTGTGTGTCGCTTGGTGAAAGATAGTGTTACTTCAGCCAGCTGGTGTCGTTTTGGGGGAATGCTAAAGCACAAGTGTTTGTGTCCTTCAAGTCTGCAGATGGTTTTTACAGCTATGCAGTGTTTGTAGGAATGAACTTGGGCTCCAGTATTCCTGAAGAGTGTGTGTGTACAACTTAGTGGGGAGCATTTTGAGCCTGCCAGAGAGGTGAGACTGCTTGTAGGGCTGTGTAGCAGAACCAAACTGAAAGGCACAGAAGAGGGAAATGGGCACTAAGTGTGATAAGAAACAACAGGAGAAAAGAGCGTCAATAAATTTCTTTTCTACTTGTTTGTTCCCCCCCCTCCCCCCAAATGAATTGAGCTTGTACAAAATCATGTGGGTTAAAAAGTGCCTTTTAATGAGATTATTCCTTTCTGGATGAGAGGAGGACATATGGTTTGGTAGTGCTGAAAGTGTCTACTGGGTTGGAATGTGAGAATGTCTCTTCTGAGGAATTAAGTTTCCTGGATGTTTAGTGGTTATTGAGTACTCCCACCTGTGCCCCAAATGTAGTCTGAAGTGTAAATCAATTTGTGTCTATTAATTTAGGGTTTCTGTGCACTTTAGACCTGTTCTTTCCTTTTCCCTGCTAAGTGTGTAATGCTACTGCTAATGAGTAAACAAGAAAACATAGTGGTTAAACCTTGGTTATCTAATATTAATGAACAGTATGTAAGACTTGGACAGATAAAGATGGATTTAGATTTAACTTTTTTCTCAGTGTTCTGTGAACTCCTGTATTTTGGGATTTTGAGGGAAGTTTGCAGTTAGGCTTGAAGTACTGGCAGATGCTGGATATGATTTCCACTTCTTTGATTTTCTGTATCCTTGTTGATTTTTTTTTTTTTAATTTTAAGTTTTTAAAGGTTATTTTTCCTCTCCGGAGGTAGGGGACATGCACTAAGATGCTGCTGGTTTGTTTACTCGAGCCATAATTTGATTGTACTTCTTGTTCTGGACACTTCGTCTCCCCTGTCTGCACCACCTGATACAGGGCTGGCTGATGGTGGAGCTACCACTGCACAGAGCTGCAAGGCAACCTGTCAGCCTTGGAGCTGCCTTCCTGGCAGGTTAAAGTCATCTGGTGAGGCAAAACTAATTAAAGGATATGTATGTCTGGAGCGAGTCAAGGAAAAGGAAACCAAACAGTTTGGGAAAGTAGGAGTCTGTTCTGCTGACTTTTGGAGAAAAGGAGGTAGGAGAGATGCCAGGCCCATAGTGCTGGAAGCAAGAAGATGGCAGAAGCCTCTGAATGGTGGCAAGGTCTGAGAACTCTCTGCCATGACAGTAAACAGCCTCTAAATTGTCTGTGACAAAAGAGTGGGTTGGTGGTATACTTGCTAGTAAGTTTAGGTAAGAGACGCCAAGTCCCCTGTGACGTGGACAGGCCTTTGTCCGAAACCAGTTATGTGGGTAGTGCTTGACTATCTGTTTCTGGATGTGCAGTCAGACTTTGACTCTGTGTGAATCTTAGCAGGGTAGGCCTTGTTGTATTGCAACTGAAATACCTCTTAAATATATCTCTAGTGCTGTAGAGATGTGATGGCATCAAGTGGAGCTGCAACGTAGCTGCCTTACACAAAGGAGAATATATTGGCAAATGCATTTTTCTACCAATGTAACCCCTCAGTTTTATATGTGTAAACCCTCTGATCACCCCTTCCTTGTTAGCTGTTCTTTCCTTGCCAGTTTTCAGTCAGTCATCCCAGTTCTGTTTCTTCTGGGCTGCAGTTGTTAGGTGTGCAGCAGTGGCAGGCAGGAGGCACACGTGCTGGTGTGGCACAGTTGTGTTGGTGGTCTTGAAATGGTGGTCGTGGGGAATAGAGAGCATTGCCTTCAGTAAACTTTTCATAGCTGTCAACATGCAGCAGAAAAGCAACAACAAAACAACTAACAAACCTAGCTGGTACCTGCTGGCACTGATGGCAGAGGGGCTGCTTCGGAGAGGAGGCGGCAACCGGGATTATGAAAGATACAGAGTTAAATACCCAGGTAATGTGGTTTGATTTTCATGCTGAATAAGATACTATTTTAAAATTATCATATGAAAATAGTATTTAATTACTGGTCTTCAATATTTTGATTTACAGTCAAAATAATTATAAAAAGCAACAATGTTAGGAGAACCTTAAATTAAAGTACCCATAATATTTCCCAAATCTTATTTTCCAAGGATTCTACATACCTGTGTGTGTACATACATACACATATATGCATAGAAAGCAAGACAGGAATGCCTTGTTTTTTGTCAGATGCAAGCAGATTTTGTGTAGAGCAACTGATTTGCAATATATTTGCTGGCAGCAGAGGGAGCTATGAAGCTTTTATTGATAATTCAAAAAAGTTGGAGTGTGTCAGTGTAAAAAAAATTAAACAAAAAATTTGAAAAAGCCCTAATTTATGGGAAATCTGAGGTGCTTCATGGGGCAGGGGCAGAGCTGTGGCTAGCCAGGACCCAGCAGCTTGGTCCCTCTCCTGCCCTGCATTGGCCTGGAAGTAGCTGCTGCAGTTGTTAAAAGGAACAATGTAAACTTCTCCCTGAGCCAAATTTTTAATCAAAGCAATGAGGAAGAACAGGATCTGCGTGTCATATATCAAAACAATAGCAACATGTGTCGCCTGGTAATTAACACTCAGGCATGAATCTGGAAAAGTAATTCTCACTCAGGGTGGAGTATGCATATTCTTTTGTAAGGCTTTTGATAATTTATCTTGATTTTGATTAATGCTGAATCTTTAGTACGGTTGGTTTTTTGCAGATACTAATTGGGTGAGTTTTGTACTCAACTGTGAGTAAACAGCAGATTAATGAGTAAAAGGTAACCAAAATGAGACTGGTATTGTCCTGGCAAAGTATGCTGTATACGTTTTAGATTAACCCCTGTGTCACTTTTACCTACCAGCCTGAAATTTGTGGCATTAAAAATCTGTAATATTCCATCTATGCTGGAATTGATTCTGGAGAAACTTGTACCAGTTCTGGCCACAGCAAAATCTCTTTATGTAGCACATCTTGTATTGAAAATAAAGAGATTTGCATAGATTTTTCTTCTGAAGATTGTATGGAAAAACTAATCGGAGGAATGTCCCGAAATTATTTAATCTGTTGTTTCTGGAAGAGGATCTCAACTAAGAACCAAAGAAAAGTAATGCTTTGTTTAGATGCCAGCCTTTAGAATGTGAGATGGAAACAACCTAGGTTATTCATTCTTGGCCAGATCCCTACAGTTTGTCTTAAATACTTAAACAGAATTTTAATCTCATTCATATGTTCATTTTGCTCTGTAGTCATCTTCCCTTTGTCACTTACCTTCCTTTCATTTTGTGCAAATCTAGGTAAATTACTTGGTACAGTTCCAAGTGTTAAGAGCAGAGGGGGGATAGGACATGTGATCACAAATTATTGAAAATCTGGCCATGCTTGCAGTTAAGGTATATAGCTGAGGGTGTTGCCGTGTTCCTTTCTGCTTCTGCACCCTCATAATAATCAAACTAATCTCTAGCTCAGAATAAACAGAAGGAAACTCAATGAGCAAATTAATTAGATTGGCTGACTTCACACAGTTTTATTTATTGGGTTGGTTGAGTACTTAACTTGTCTGCAACCTGACAAAATATTGGGATGCTCTATTTCCTGAAAGACTTGATGTTTATCTATTTTGCTAAAGAATAAAAAAAGGTTTTTCAGTTGTTTTCAGTTGTTAATGTACAGTAATTGAATTATAAATTAAAGCAAAAACATGTTAA